ATCCCAAATCCTGAATGGAATAAAGACATGCTGTTTTCAAACTCCCTTAAAGTGGGATGTGTTTCTCGAGTTTATTAATTCAAAAGCCTACTTAACTTTTACTTCTAAGGATTAATTTGGATGCACAATTGTTTGATTGTTTTGCTGTTGCCGCTTTCTTTATATTACTATTTTTAAAAGAAATATTTACATTGCAAACTGCCTACAGTCATGAGATTGGAGTAACATAAAACAACTGTAAATGAATAAATGAATTAAAATGTCTTTGAAGGGAAGAATGGTGACACTCAGCAAAATAAGTAAACAAATAAGCAAATAATAAATAAGTGTACAAATGTTTTAAAATAAAATTATTTCTTCAATAAATCTAACAATTTAAAACTCGTTGAGAAGAAGGAAAATAAGACTCTCAAGCCAGAAAAATCCTTGTCATCAAATTTTATTTTGTCTGAGGGCAAAAGTTTCAGGAATGGAAGAGAAAGATTTTCACAAAGTTTAACTGTGTGTTCTGCATATTCTAATTTCTAGTAGTTGTATTACCTATGTTTTATTTTGTTTGATAATCTCTCAAGTAATTGACAATAGAGAATCCCTTTTTTCTGCTGCAAATATCATTCCATTAGGTCAAAACTTATTTTAAGGGCATATACTTCAACATCTCTTGTCTCAGTTCAGTTCAAAAGTGAAAACTGGTATGCTCTTTTCTTTTTAATGTTCTAATCTTGAACATTCCATACCAGGAGTCGGCAACCTTAAACACCCAAAGAGTCGTAATTGTTCTAACTGGAAGCCACCCATTCAATTTTGGAGCCAACAGGAAGTCCAGCTCCCCCACCATAGAGTCTCCTCCTAGCACGGCGTCATTTTTTCTCTACCTGTCCTAACCAAAAGCCCTAGTAATTGTGGAGCTGACCAGCAAGAGGGAGCTGCAGCAGAGGCATAAAAGAGCCACATGCAGCTCCAGAGCCATGGGTTGCAAACCCCTATTCCATATCATTAGAAAAAAACTCATTCCCTAAGTATTTATGATTTTCTCATAGCAAAAGAAAGGAAAAATAGGGCTCCATTCCCTCCCCTGATTTATGCTCCAGAATTTGGATATGTTAGAGTACCACAAGAAAGATCAAGTTAATTCTTTGAGCTAAATGTAGTTAGTAGATGATGTTAAGACATTATTTTCCTAAGTAAAATAAATAGAGCATTTTTTTAAAAAATCATTGTTTTATGAAGATTTCAGACTTATTCATAACAGCAATGTTTGGGAAATTATGTTGAAACAATAATAAATGTTAATTATTAAAACTTGTTTTGATAAGTAATAAGTCGTAAGTAACAACGGTTCATGCTGAAAGATGCAAACCACGTCTTCTTTTGTGCCCATAAGTGGGATTTACCATTAATAGTTACGATTCTTTAGGGCTCGAGAAAATGCAGTTTCTCAGTATTTGCTTGAAACAAATACTACCTACTAACTATTTTAGCAATAATTCAAACAACAATTGGATTGCCTTCATGAGTAAGACAATGTATGTGCTGTTTTTGAAATGTGTTTCTCTATATGTGTGAGGGGAGGGTGTCTGTTCTTTTCTTGGCCGAAGTGTACTGTAAAAAGTAAAGCTAAAATGTTGCAGCAAAATGCATAGCACAAAACAAATGAAGTGGTTTAGTGACTGACTTAACTACTGAAATACTAATGTTCATTTTTTCTCTTGCATTTCTACATAACATTCAAGTGTGAGATATCTAAGAGTTCAAAGCTCTACCAACCCTCCCATGGCTGAATTAGTTTTCTCTTCCAACTCTCCTCCATTTACGTTTTACAGTTATCAACTTGTTTGAATTGATTAGAAGTTGGAATGAAAATTCAAGCCATTTTCAGTAAACGTCAAAATTTACTTTGGCCATCAATATCAAATAGAACACTATTCTATTCTTGATCTAAGCCAATTTAGTTAAGGACACAATTTTCATGTTTCTCAGGTTTGTTTGCATATATGTAGGGGAATCATCTATCTCTTTTATTCTCTGGAAACATACAAAATATGTTTTAAAATCAAGACTTCATTTCTCTGAAATTGGATAGTTTCTTGCTTGAGCAAGGAGTTGGACTAGATCCGGGATGGCGAACCTATGGCATACGTGCCACAGGTGGCATGCAGAGCCATTTGTCAGTGCAGGCGAGGTACTGCCCAGTTAGCTGGACAGCGCACATGTGTGCGCTGGCCAACTGAGTTCACCCTTTTTTAAAGCCTTTTTTTTAACCCTCCCCAGGCTCCATGAGTCTGGGGAGGGCGAAAAAAGTATTCCCCCCCCCCCCTGAGGCCCTCCTGAACCCTCCAGAGTGCAAAAAAAAACAAAAAAAAAAACAGCACTATGAGCAAACCGGAGGTTTGGGAACTGACTTCCAGTTTGCTCGAAGGATCATTTTAAGTGCTCTGCAGGCTTCAGAGAAGCCTCCTGAAGGTCCCTGAAGCCTCTGGAGTGCTCAAAACGACCATCTGAGCAAACCAGAAGTCACTTCTGGTTTGCTTGTAGGGTCTTTTTCTGCCCTCCGGAGGCTTCGGGGAAGCCTCCCGAAGGTCCCTGAAGCCTCCGGAGGGCCTCCGGGGGGGGGGCGGGCGGCAGAGGGCTTTTTTCACCCTCCCCAGGCTCCTATAAAGACTCTAGAGCCTGGGGAGGATGAAAAAAGGATGCAAAAAATGGGGGGGGTGTCACACCTGTAGTGCGCATATGCACATTGGGAGGTCGTGCATTGCATTATGGATGCAGCATGCCTGACATGCCAGCCCCCCTGTGCTCCTCCCACTTATGGCACACGAGCCAAAAAAAGGTTTGCCATCGCTGGACTAGATGATCATCAACATTTGTGACCTGTCCAATTACTGTAACCATATGATTTTTGCTGGAAAGCTTTTTCAGTCAGAGAGGGTTTTTTCCCCTTCCTTTTCATCCCTATATCTTCCATCAGGTGTTTTTTTTAAGATATGGCTTATTTTAACTTTTCAGGGTTGATTCAGGTAATAGGAAAAAAAAATATCTGGGATCTATATTCCAAATGAATAGATAGCTGACTTGTTTTACAACATTAGCAGATGTTGTAAGCAGTCAATCAAGAAGTCAGTTCTGAGTCAAGAGCATATAAGAATCCAAAACCAAATTGAAATCCAATGACAGAAAATGGGAAGAAAACATATTAAAAAACAAAAATCACATAGAATAGTAGAGTTGGAAAGGACTTTGGAGGTTTTCTAATCTAGTCCCCTGCTCTATATCATTTCAGATAAATATTGCCCAGTCTCTTTTTGAAAGCCTCCAGTGATGAAAACCCACAACTTCTGAAAGCAAGTCATTCCATTTCCATGATAATGGGGAACGTTTATATACCCCTATTATTCAGAAGTCCAGTACAAAATAATTTTAAAATGGGGAAGTGCTATTACATCTCTGAAAACTGTTCCAGATTTCTGGGGTACATGGAATAGAAAGTAACAAAAGAAAGGCCATATTTAAAAATGGACTGTTTTCACTTGGGACTATAGGTAAAAAAAAGATTTCTGAAAAAATCCCCAGTGCATCCCAATAAAAGGAGCAACCCCTTCTTTTTCTGGTTATAAACCCAGAACTGAGTATATACATCCAACCTGTGTTTCCCAGTGCAATATAAATAGATACAACATGGAATAAGATCAGTAACACAGAAGGAGAGATCAACACATAGAATATATCATGATTAAAATATTCTCCCTGCCTCCCCCACTCCCCCCCCCCATGTCTCCTTTTCTTGTTCTCAGGCACGCATGCACACATATACACACTTACATATTATGTAGGTGGATATGCAAACATTAAATTCATACTATGGTCACTGTTCATAAAGGAGTTGGAAAGAATTTCATAAATCATATTCTGCTTTCTCTAATTTCCTTTTCAAAGAGAGCTTATAGAGTGACATAGAAATGAGGGGGAAAAACTTGAGAAAATCGAAATTGATTGATATGTCAGCTTCTAAATGAATGTGGATTCTCTGCATGAATTTTTATATCTGAAAGAGGAAGGAAAATGCTGAGCAATTTTATCTGTTTCATATAATTGATCTAGATGCATTTCACTCCTACCATAAACATTTCTGGCCTTTCTTTTTTAAAATGTATTATTTTTATTCTTATTTTTATTCTGTACCATGCAAAAAGTTAACTTTAAGACAAATTAATAATAAGAATATCAATAACATACTTATTGAGAAAATTATCAGGACACCTTTGTTGTAATAAATTCAAGAATTCATTCACTGATCATTGGCTGTTTCTCAGATTGCTCCTTAAAGGTACATATTCACATGACCCAATCTTTGCTATTACACTCATATTTGAAAACATGAAATATATGTGGATGAGTGGATGGATGGACAGACAAAAAGACAGTTCACAGGATTTCTACTTTGTTATAGTTTCTTTCTTACTTTTAAAATACATTAATTCAATGCCCTGATGCTAAAGGTCATTTCCTACAATTCCTTGCCTTTCAAATTTTCCTCTTTGTATCTTCTTAAAGAACATGATGGTAGAAAAGCTGAGAGCACATGGAATGTCATACTTTGTAACTTGAAACACTGGCCGTCAATTACACCAGCTGTTGTGATGACAAATGAAAATTCAATTCCCTTGAAAGATAGTAGATGACTAATAATACCAAAGCATATTCTGTCTTAGTATAATTTAACCCAGCATTGTCATCTTTTGAAAGTATTGCGAAGTATCTTGTCTAGAGAAATAACTAGCAGATTCTCCATTGCTATATTATACTCTGCCACTGATATCAACATCAGTATCCCATATTATTTTTAACATCACTGCCAGTATCCTTGAACAATTATATTAATATCAATAATGGAGCAGGAATAGCCATATGTTATTCTATAACCAGGCACTTAAAAATACTTTCCATTTCTGAAGAGAAATAATAAGAAAAGTTGCTGTATTATAAAATAAAACAGCCCTTACCCAGTTTTTGCAAAATTTGCCCAATACTTCAGTATAGATCTGCTCAGTGCTTCCTCTGCTTTAGTATAATTAACTCTTCGCTCTAGAGGTAATCCAAATACGAACTCAATTTCATAACCATGTGGAACTCCCATCCATTCTGGCCAAGCAAGTTTTGAAGATCGGTGCTCAAAGTAGTAAAAAAAAACATTGTTCCCTGCCAAAGCAAACTGTTTTATGAACTCTATTGAAGGACATGTGAAATAGTAATCCCCAATAATATCATCCATGGCCTCACGATAATTGAAAATATTCTTCTCATCTTCCCAGTCTGTGTAGTGAAAAGCAATAGATTCCAATCCCATTTCATTTAATTGTGGAAAAGCAACTTTCAAACTTGCCTGGAATTCTGTTTCATTGATAATGCTGTCGTTATCTTTGCTGAAGCCAGGAGCACCATACACAAGCATAGTAGTACCTTCATCTTTGTTTACTCCCATCAAGATCTGTGTTTGTTTAAAGTGTCCATTTTTCAGCAATATTTCTGGTATATCAGCAAGAAAGTCACCATCAACTACGGGACAAAACTGCAAATGTATAAGACCGGTGTATATTGTTGAAGCTTCTCCTTTCTCCAATAGCTCTTGGGGTTCCTTGTTTTGAAAACAGAATATGATCTCAGTTTCATTGCCAGTACAGTGGAGGAGTTCAGCTAGAGCTAGAGTTCTTTTTCTTGCTTCAGATGGTAGAATTACACCCCAAGGAGCATTCCCAGATCCACTTTGCATGATCGCCCTCGTGAAGAGAGGATAGCTTTGAGGAGAAAGAAGATGGAAGCTAACAGATCCTGCTCCAGCACTTTCTCCAAACAAGGTCACACTTTTAGAATTACCTCCAAAGTTTCCTATGTTGTCATGGATCCATTGAAGTGCCAGCCTTTGATCAAACAAACCTACATTTCCTGGGGCGCCTTCATTTCCTGGCAAAGCCAAGAATCCAAAAGGCCCTACTCTATAATTCATTGATACGACAATGACTCTTTCCACACGAGCTAGAAACTTGCCATCATAAACAGAGAGTGAAGATGTTCCACTGTGAAAGCCACCTCCAAAAATCCATACCATGACTGATGCATTTTTAGGCTTGGGGGAAGGAACCCATACATTGAGATAAAGGCAGTCTTCACTAAGTTTTGTGTTTGGATTCCACATCTCTGATCCTTCAAAGCCAGGGAAAGTATTATCTAGGAGTTGAAAGCAAGAGTTGGCAAACTTGGTTGCATCCCAAGTTCCTTTCCATTCTTCTCGAGATTCTGGCTTTTTGAAACGTAGCCTACCAATAGGTGGTGTTGCAAAAGGAATCCCAAGAAATGCAGTAACTGTTCCACCAAGCACAGGTAAATTAATACCTTTGACCATTCCATTCTTAGTAGCAATGATGGTGTCATCTCCAGCAGGGAACACCATCTTGACAAACATACAGAACAGAAGAAACCACATGATAATTTTTGTGTGGCTCCACATCCCATTGGTATGCATCATGAATTCTGAAATAAAAGAAAAAAGAAAGAGCTTAAGCAGAACTTTCAGGCGCAGAAACACGGTGAGTCACTGCATTGGGGACCTGTGTTGTGTAGCCTCAAGAGACTAACTGACAGCTGTACTCAAAGAGAATGCACCTCAAAGACAATCCAGTAGGCAAAGTGTCTCAATTTCATTATTTACAAGGTATAACCAAATGGAAGTGAAGAAAATATAATAAAATCATCACCTGTAATACCACATCATTATGAGCACCAAACTGAATACTCCCACAGTCACTGTCAATCAGTCACCAGCTTGCTGGAATCTAACTGAAAATATGCATCTTCACTCAGATGGTCTTTTGCCATGCAAACTCAGATCACAAGCCCAGCTCCTCCTTAAATTGGAGGTGATCCTGGTCTGCTTGTTTGAGAATAAAGGATGCAGAGGTATGAAAATGATTCTTGGAAAACTGTTCCTGAGCTCTTGATAAATGCTGGAATCTAATAAATCCTGGAAAATTTAGGGGAACTAAGTTTTGTCAGAATATTCATAAGTGGCAGAGACATGGTAACAAGGTCAGCCAATGAATAGGAATAGCAACTAAGTCAGCCAATGAGGGCTGTTTAGAAACTGAAATAGTATTTGCTGGAGACAGCTAGGTGCATGGGTGGGGCTTAGGGCTAGCTTCACTGCCCTGTATCGAGGCGGTTCTCTTTGTCTGTATTAAGCTCTGTGCTGGAAATGAAACTAGTCTGGACCCGTTGCTCTGATTTGAAACTGAAGAACCACTCTTGGTATTGTACATTTACTCATGTGTTGTTATGTATATAAAGAAGTTAGTGAATCCTGCTGAATCAATTATCTGTGTGTGCTTTCAGAATGTGATTTCTGCAACAAACTCTAACAGTCTTGAAACAACTTTGCTCCAGCAATTGGAAAACTTGTTTATAAGGAATAGTTAATGGCTACAAATATCATATAATATGACTTTTATTTTGGAATGTGTATAGCTATTTATAATTTTCACTATAATGCACATTTGGGATTATTCAACACAGATTAGAGCCTTGCAGAAAATATTACATGTGTTAGTGGCGAATATCTGTAGCTTGGGTGTAGGATAAGGTTGGAGGTTCATTCCCCAAGGTTGGGCGTTTCCACATGAACCCAAAAGCTCAGAGAACAAAATACTAAATTTTCAACCTCTCTTTAGAAAAGGCCAAGGAACATGAGGCATTATTGCTGATGCAATACAGAGAAAGCCAAGCAATATCAAAAATAAGTCACTAAATGCTTTACTGATTATTGAAAGATCTTGTTGTTATAGAAATGGCTAGTTTATATTATTATGGACAAGTAAAAAGTTGAGGTTTGATGTTAATCTTACTGTAACAGAGGGAGTTTAAGTCAACACTTTTTTTCTTTTTTTCCCTCCCTCCTTTCCCCTTTTCCTCCCCACTGTATCCTCTTATTTGCTTTTGTATTTCTGTATTTTATTCTATAATCTGATAAAATGTTTAAAGTTGATTATTGAAAAATCTTCAGTCATGACAGTCATGTCAAGGTAAGAAACATGCTTAAAAAGTATGTGTATAGATAGATAGATAGATAGATAGATAGATAGATAGATAGATAGATAGATAGATAGATAGATAGATAGATAGATAGATAGATTCTGGGCTGGGAAAGTAATGCAAAAAGTGTACTTGTATTTTCCCCAAAATAAGATCGGTCTTATATTTGGGAACTGGAGGGGGTCCAAAATAAGCACTAGGGCTTATTTTTGGGGAGTGTCTTATTATTTTTCTATGTACAGGAGGCCCACTTCTTCTGCTTGCTCACAGCCACAATGGGCAAGAGACTGTGTGGTATATCAGTGCTGCAACTGTGAAGGAGGGGGGTGGAGCTTCCCCACAGTCCCCACACTGGCTTACCTCAAGGCCCTATAGCCAGACCATTCACACCCTGACATCTGCCTTGCCTCATGATGGTGGATCAAACAGCAGGACCACATGCGATCACATGCCCACTTCTTCTGCTTGCTCACAGCCACAACAGAACAGGCAAGCCAAGAGATGATGGGTTGCAGTGGGTAGTCGGCCATGGGTGGCTCGTCTTCACATCTCTCAGCTTTCCTGCAGCCCATGTGGTGCACTGGGATCACATGCCTTCCCCCCTCTCTCACACACACCTCTGCCTTCATCTGCTGCCGATGCTGGCATGCAAAGATGAGCCTCCATCAGCCGCCCGTCTGCTCTGATCCACCAACTCTCAGCTTTGCCATGTCTCGCATGGCCTGCTGTTTGGACAGATAATCAACTCACCTGTGCTATCCAAGCTGTGGCTGCTGCCAGATACCATAGGCCCCATGCCCTTGCCACCTAGAGTTTTGGCCATTACCACCCCACTGGTGAAGACCTTAACTAGGGCTTATTTTAGGAGCATGCTAAAAATCAGGCTAGGGATTATTTTCAGGATAGGTCTTATTTTGGGGAAACAGGGTATATACTCTATCCTTAATTATTCAATAAATATAAGTATCCTGTTAATGGATTATATTCTTCCTCTGTCATAATGATCAGATCTCTGGACATAAGGCAGGCAATAATGACATGTTTGAATTAAATAGAATAAATGTAAATATTTTGTTTGTTCATTTGTTTGCTTGCTTGCATGCTTTCTGCCTGCTTTACTTGATTCACATTTCTTCACTTCATACTGGCTTGGAAATAGCAAACCATGTAGGTTTTGGTGGCGCCAAACAAGTTCTGGAAAGGAATTTAGAGTAGATGATCTCCACCTTCACTTCCAAATCTAACATGCTATGATTCGGTGCTTCCTACTTATCACATAAGAATATAAAACCAATAATCTATCTATAGGCTTTCATACATGTATTTAGAGCAGCCCTTCACATAGCCTCAAATGTGGATAAATAAAAATTGATCGGAAGATGCATAGTTACATAGCAACACCTCCTCACTAGCAATCAACACCTAGGTAAACACAGATAAACACCTAGATTAACATTAGATAAACAATCAAGAAGCAAACAATACCCTAATACACAATCAAGAAACCTACAATACCACTCCCACCAACATTGACAGGTCTAGTATATCAAATAAGAGCAAACCCCATTGATGATGTTAACTAGTTTGGGAATGAAATGTCTATAAAATAAATCCCAAGCTCTTCTTGATCAGTGCCCCCAATGCAATGCCTTTTCCTGTAATGTGGACATGGTTTTGATCACCAAAAGTTGTATGTTGAATTGGCTGAAATGGGGAATATGTGTTCTGAATATGGAAAAAGCTGATTAGAAAAAACCAGAGGATTCTTAGAAGAACTTGCTTGGAATGTTTATTGCTAGGAAGAGGGTGCTTGGGTATTTAAATCCATATGTGTTCACAGTGACTTGTTTGGTGGGAATGGTTGTCTCTCTATGTGTGTTTTTATGTATATGTGGATGTGTATACATTAATGTATAATCCCTATTGACTGTGCTTAGTAATGTATCTAATTTATGTCTAGTTTGGGAGTCGATACTTAAATAATAGTTTAAAAATCATATTTGTATATCCTTAATAAATAACATAGGGAAAAAGTTTCATAATAATATGCAGTAACTTAGACATTTTGAGTAATTTCCTCTTGAAAGAAAGATACGGGAAAGGAGGGGAGGAAAGTATTCTACGTCCTCATTACTGTCATTTTAAACAATCTGTTCGCAAGTCATTTGAGTAATGCTTCTATCCTTAAAAGGGCAGAGTTAATTTCAGTGGAAAATACAGCTGCACAACTCTTGAAGGGCTGTTTCGCTCATTGCCAGCAAAGATTCTGAAAGCTGAGAATAGAAAATAGGAACATTTTTCCTTTAAGTGTTTCCTAAGTGTATGACAGTATCAAAGGAAGTGAAGGACAGAGAAGGATTATTGGGGACAATATTTCACTGATTCAGTTGAATGCAAGAGCAAATGAAAAGCCACACTATAGGAGCCAAATATCGAGGATAGGGACTGAAAGGAAGAGTAAATTTTATGTTCTTCATTCCATAAAGAAATATGAAATATTATGTTTAAACTGTACTCATTGAGAATCTTACAAGAACAACATCTGCATGCATGACCGTTATGCTTTAATAGTGGGATAGAATCAAGATCATGTGAAGTTCATGTACCGCTTTACAAAGCCTTACTAAGACCACACTTAGAATACTGCATCTAGTTCTGATCATATGAGGAAAAAAAGGATGTTGAGACTCTGGAAAGAGTGCAGAGAAGAGCAACAAAAATCATTAGGGGGCTGGAGACTCAAAGAGGAATTGGGCATGTCTAGTCTAATGAAAAGAAAGACTAGGGGAGACATGCTAGCCTTGCTCCAATATTTGAGGGGCTCCTACAAAGATGAAACTATTTTCCAAAGCAAGACAAGAAACAATGGTGGAAGCTAACCAAAGAAAGAAGCAACCTAGAACTAAGGATAAATTTCCTAATGGTGGGAGCAACTAACCAATGGAATAGCTAGGCCATAGAAATTGTGGGTGCTCCATCACTGAAGGTTTTCAAAAAGAGACAACAATTTTTCTGAAATGATGTAGGGTCTGCTGCTCAAGCAGAGTGTTGGACTAGAAGACCTATGTGGTCCCTCCTAACTATCCTATTTTCAGTCTGATGGATAATAGAACTGCTCTAGGGAATGTGAAAAATACTTAAATCAGTGGTGGTTTCCTCTCCCCATCGCTACCGGTATGCTGTGCACGGGGCCGGGCGTTCTAGTTGTGTACACGTGCTACACATGCGTGTGCACTTTACCACCTCTGTGACACCCAGCTGCTTGTCAGAGGTGCGCACACTGTGCACACAATTGGCCAGTTGCTTTAAAAACAGGTATAGAAAGCAGGCAGGGGTGGGTGGGCCAAACGAGCCACCGTACCAGTATGGTGGCCGCTGCTCCTGGCTACTACCTGTATGGCTGTACCGGGCCGTACTGGCTGGAACCCACCCCTAACTTAAATGTGGTTTGAATGGATGAATCCTCAAACTTGGTTTCGGGTGGAGTATGGATCAGAGGTGATCAGCCCGTTCTCTCCAGTTTGGGTGAACTGGTACTGGCAGCTGCAGGAAGCTCCCCCACCCTCCTCGACCTAATGCACAAGCACTGCACATGCACAGAAGGTGGTGCACATGCACAGATGAGGCGCATGTGAGCAAGGCAATCAAACGCACATGCTCACATTTGTGAACTGGTAGGGAAGGTAAGTAAATCCCATCCCTGGTATGGATGCCTCTTGCCAGGGAACAAGATAACAGAAGTGACAGGCTTTCCCCACCATTCCTAATTTCTCCAAGGTTTGGCCAAATCAAATATCTGCTCACTGATGAATAAAGCAGATGATGATAGGTTGCCCCATACTGTAGAAATTGGATAAGCAAGAGCACTTGGGAACCAGCAAAATACCTACAGATCTAACTTTTCCTGATGTGGAGATCATTTTTTTCCCCCAAACTGGATATAATATCTTACCATCTGTATTGCTGTAAGGCTGATCCTCAAGACCCCGTTTACCAAGTGAAGTTGCTACGTGGTGAAAAAAAAATTGTATCCATTTGTCACATATAATTACACTGTAAACGTTAACAGAAATATTAGATCTACTGATATTTTGCCTGCAAAATGAGTAAATTCCCAGGAAGGCCATTCAACCTCTATGTGAATGATCTTCCCCTTCATTATTTGTTCAATAGACAATTTTAATTTTGCAGCAATGAAAATAAGCCATAACTGGTTCCAGGCATAACCTCTTACAATTTATGTATGAATTCTGATTTTATATGGGAATTCTGCAATCATCCTACATATTTTGTTTTAGGTGATGTGCATTTTATTCCATTTTATTCTTTTAGACGTATCCCTGCACAGTATATTAATACACATTATTGTATTTGCCTATTTTATTATTTTACAATATAAATTCCTTGCCATGATTGTATTTCAACTCATTTAATTTAATTTTTGTATTGCATATTTTGTAAATTATTCAGCAGTAACTGAATAAACATTGCCATTACTTTTAAATGTTTGTCTACTGGAAATGGAATTAAACACCAACTTCAAGAATGCCAGATACAAAAATGATATCCAATTTTCTCATTATTGAATGCAAAGACATTTTGTTTTTCTTTTGTCATGCTATCCTTTAATAAGGGTAAGAGTGACCCATGTATAATCATGAGGGATTTCTAATGTCTGGAAACTTGTTTAATATGTGATTACTTGTATCTTGAGCTCTGCAAAATCAACAGCTCTGACTAATGAAACCAGGGTTTATTTTGAAGACTGGGAAAGAAGTCTTTAAGGTACATGTATGGATTTTTAATAGCCTATCCTGCCTTTTCCATTTTAAAGAATATGTTTAAGGCATCTCAAATAATCATGACAAACACAGCATTATTTTTTTTTAAAAAGGACCTGATCCTATTTCTGTGGTAAAGCACATTTCAGCAGATATTAGGAAAAAAAAATATTATGTGAGAGCCAAAAAGTTGCTACTGTTGATCATGCTGTTGAACAAACAGAATAGATTGATATGAAATTATTACTTGTGTTCTTTATCATAGGGAGGAGGATGGGAGCTGATTCAAACAAAGAACTTTCAAATATAACTCTCCATATTATTCTTGCTATTTCAATTTAGCAAGTCCAGAGAAATACTGTGACAAGTTTAATCTAGAAAACTGCAAGTCTCTATTAAGTAGAGAGTAAGAAAGTTGACCTTGATGAAAATCACTGGTGGGTTGCCAATTTTTTTACTACCGGTTCGGGTATGATTGCGTGCATGTGTGATGCTTCTGTCCATGCGCAGAAGCATCCGTGAGGGTGGGCAGAGCCTCCCGCCACCTCTATTACCAGTTCACCTGATCTGGGCTGAACCAGGAGCAACCCACCTCTGATGAAAATGTGCAGAAACTGATACCTAGGCAAAAGGGGTTAAAATATTTTTAAAGTCCAGAGCAATGAGATAACTTTGGAAAGAGATTTCATTTATTCACTACAATATAAAAAGGAGAAAGCACAGCATAATCAAACCATTAAGATTCTGTATTATATTCAATCTCAATTAACAAAATAGTCTTAGCCTTCACGTGGACTTGATTCCTGGTCTGATCCAGAGATGGTATTCAACCAGTTCTGACAGGTTCTGGAGAACCAGTAGCAGAAATTTTGAGTAGTTTGGAGAATCGGCAAATAGGCTGGCCTTGCCCCCCCCTTCCCCGCTACCTCCCAGCATCCCAGATGATCTTCTTTTGTTGCCCTGCACAGGAGAATGTAACTGGAAAGCAGGTTAGTGGGGTGGGAGGGAATGGGGTTTTTGCAGTAACCTTCCTCCAGAAGTGGGGAGAGAATGGGGATTTTGCAGTATCCTTCCCCTGCCACGCCCACAAAGCCATGCCCACAAAGCGACACCATGCCCTCAAAGCCATGCCCCCAGAACTGATAGTAAAAAAAAATGGTCTGATCTACTAAGCAGGCTGACAATTAATATGGAGTGGCAAATTTAAGAATAGATATAACTGAGATTAAATTACATGAAAGCTTTTGCTGGAATCCTATTATATGTTTCCTGTATATGATTGGTGAATGGTATTGATTTATACCATTCAATTTTAGTATTTTTCTTTCTCTCTTATATAAGGTGCCCAGTTTTCAAGATTGGTAAAGAGGGACCCCTTGGTCGGGGGGGGGGGGGGGGGGGGGGCGGCGGCTTGATTTAA